CCTTCAGCACCAGAAGGTTACCCCACCTTGAGCATCCGCTCACTGTGCCTCAGTTTCCCCTTTCCAAAAACAAGGCCAAGCAGGCGGTTTGGGTGGTGGGTCTTGTCGAGGGCTGCTTCACCCCATTTTTGACATGAGGCTCCCTACCTCCCCGCTTGTGGGGCAGAGCAGGAGGGCTGTGTGGCGGTGAAGGACGGGGTGATTAGCAGTGGGGCAGGAGGCCAGTGTGCAAACAGCCTCCCCGGGCGCTGCCTTGCTCTGTGCCAGCCACGACACCCCTTATCAGCTCCTGCACCCGGCACAAGCCGTACTGGGGCACCGCCGCAGCCCTTTGAGGTCTGGCATCTCCCCAGTGCCATGCAGCACCCGACGTGCTGGCAGGAGCAGCTGGGTGACAACAGGACGGGCACAGGGACCTGCTCCCCGCTCTGGGTGACTCAGCCCCGGGCACGGGGGTTCTGGCCCTGCCCCACGGAGAGGCGTGGGGGAAGCTGGTCTATTCCTCCTACTCGCTGGATGGGTGAAAGTCCAGGTTCCACCATAAACTGGTGACCTCACGAGTGCTGTCAGGATTTTTGATCCTCTTTTCTCTCCCTGAGCACACCCGGATCCCAGTGCTGTCCAAAGCCCTTCCCGGATGTGTTGTGGTGCCCAGGAGCCACGATGATGCCAAATGGCACCAAGCCCTGTCAGCTGGCACCGAGCTGGGCACCGCTGGGCACGCCTGGCCTGGCTGTGTCACCCTCTGCTCCCTCTTTTCAGGGCTGCTTTGCCAAGCCGACCCCTTTTGCCATCATCCCCGCAGGGTGGAGCAGGCGTGGGGGCAATGCCTGGCCGGCCAGGAGCCTCTTCCCTGCCGCGGGGTTTTTCCGGGACAGGGCAGTTTCTGTGGTGCTGAGTTTTGGCAATAACTCTGCAACCACGGGCTTGGTTCCTCCCCTCCACCTGCTGGGGAAACTCGAAGGACCAGTTTCTCCTCCCAGATACGATCCCTCCCCATCGCCCTCCCCTACTCTCTGCTCCCCTGGCAGCCGAAGGGCAGCAGCGGGGGGTAAGCCAGGCCGGTGCAGCCTCCCCGGTGCTCCCGTTGTGCCCCTGCCCTCTGCTTCCCACCGCCGGAGCTTCTGGGAGGACGCTCCACCCCAGCCGGTCCACCACCAGCCCACGCACCCCAGCTCACCACCCCATCCCCACCAACCAGGCATCTCTGCATGTTGCAACCCTTAGACTTGCCTGATTCCCCCTGACTGGCACCCCGGGGTGCCTGGCAGCACCCCAAGAGCTGACACTTGTGGCATCAGAGAGTGAGGCCAAATATTCCGCGGGAGCACGTGGTAGCAAACAGAAACTTCCTTATTGCCCCTGGGAACGTGTCTTTGGGCTCGAGGTGCACAAGCAGCTGACAGGGTGTGTGTGCTGTGGTGGGGGTTTCCTCTTTTCCACCCGTGACACAGGGTGGGGGAGAGCAGGAGGGTGAAACCTCCCTGGCAGGGACTGCAGGCAGCGCCCTGCCGCCCACCTGAGCCTGGGTCACTGCTGTCTCCAGCTACGCACCCTTTGGTGCTCCCTGCCACGGGTTGTGCCACCCACCGTGGGCAATAACCCCTGTGTGGGTGCCAACCAGCCTGCACCAGCGCGGGCAGAAACCCTTTGGGATGGGCAGAGCCGGCAGGAGCGGAGGGCAGGGTGGCTGGGCCCAGGGCAGACTTTGCTCTTTTCCTGGGTGGGGTTTGCCCCTCTCCCGGCTGGGGAGGTGATGAGAATGGCAGGGGAGAGACCCGGTTATGTGGGGGGACGCTGGGCAGCAGAGCTGAGGTCACTGTCAGGGCCAGGCTCAGCAAACGGGTGGTGTTTGGTCCCCGCGCTCCGGGGTTTGCTCTGTACGGGGAAACGGGTGCACGCAGACCCCCACCCGCCTGGAGCCCCTGGGAACAGCGTGGCATCTCCAGCCTCATCCCATCTGCTGCGGCCCCACAGCCCCGATGTGATGGGGTCTGGCCCGATGTCACCATATTTCCCCCTCCTGCAGCAGCCTTGGGAGAAGCCTGTGGCAAACAGCCACTCTCGGAGCCCGCGTGGGGAATTTCCCTCTGCTTGGGGAGCAGGAAGGCTCAAAGCTGCGCTGCGCCCCGGGAGGCAAGAAGGAACGGGCCGGGTGGGGTGGATCTGGCAGCCTCCTGCCCGGTGATGGGGTCTGGCCCGATGTCACCATATTTCCCCCTCCTGCAGCAGCCTTGGGAGAAGCCTGTGGCAAACAGCCACTCTCGGAGCCCGCGTGGGGAATTTCCCTCTGCTTGGGGAGCAGGAAGGCTCAAAGCTGCGCTGCGCCCCGGGAGGCAAGAAGGAACGGGCCGGGTGGGGTGGATCTGGCAGCCTCCTGCCCGGTGGGGTGTTTAGGATCCCCGTGGGCAGAGGGTGGGGAAAGTGAGGGGCTGAAGCCCCCGGCTATATGGGGAAGGCAGATTCCTGAAGAGTATCTTCATCTATCACCATGGGGTGATGTACCTATCACCATGCGGTGATGGCTCATGTGTTGCCCCACACAACGGGTGTCAGGAGATTTGCAGGGCGCGTTCACCACCAGCATCACCTGCCCTGGGGCACAACAGGCAAAACCCTGCGTGGCAGAGGGCTGTGTGCTGGCAGGGAGCAGGCAATGCTCAGAGCTTTAGGAAACGAGCTGCCCCCTCCCTCCTGGGAATTAACTTTGGTGACATGTTCATCATGAGCGGGAGGAGGAATCACAACTCTTTGTGTTTGTGCTGATGAAGGGAGTGAATGGCACGCAAAAGCAAACTCCTCTGGTATCAGCTGCCCAGGGAGTGCCCGCTGCAGGGGATATCCCCTGCCTGCCCTAACAGCCTGGCCAGGACATTCCTGGATCAGATCAGGGAGGAGAGGACATCCTCAAAGGACATGGGCTGGCCTGGAGGAAGAAGTGAGGCAATGCACCCTTTGCCAGGCACAGCCTTCTTCCCTGGCTCCCCTTCTCCTTCTCCTCCTCCCTGCCCCAGAGGTAAATCACCCTGTGTGCCCACCCAGCCCCAAGTGTGCTTTCCGGGCAGCTCTGTGCCCTGGTTATTTGTCGGGATATCAGAGGAGGCGATGGAAGGGCTATTCAAAAGGCAGGAGCTGACATTCAACATGGGACATTAATCATTAACGCCGGGCAGGACACGGTGTAATAACCATCACAGCAACAATCCTGGGTACCCAGTTGAAGATTAATTTGCTGTTGGGCTTTGTTAGGTCTGGGGAGAGGAGGTGGCAGCCCTGTGCTGGGAGGTGCAGCAAGGGATGGGATGGGCTGGGCGCAGGGGAGGGACCCCCCACAGCTGGGACCAAGGCGAGAAGCCAAGCAGAGCCCCTTCCTGGGAGCGGTTTGGGCACCTTGGCATTGCAGGGCTCTTTATAAAGCAGAGGTTGCTGAAAATTGGGGATCAGATCCCTGAGCTGGGATGCAGGTGGCTTGGGCACGGTGTCACTGCCTCCCTCCCACACAGGGATGAGGACGGGGCCAGCACGTCCTAGGCACTGGCATCCCTCCAGCGCTGAGATCCCTCCATCCGAGAGGGCCTTGTCTGTTATCCTGGACTCCTGGCTAGAGGGTGCTTCCCTCCATCTGTGGGGCACAGAGGGAATGAAGTGCCCTGGGAAGGGTCAGCCTGGACCTTGTCTCCCACATCCCAGCCCGTCA